ATATGCCCAAATGTGCATTTTCTTCCATCTGCAATATTAAAATGGCTGCACAAAAATTCACCAATTTTGATTAAGATTTCTCTTAATGCATGGTGCTATGATAGCTGTCACAACACAATCTAACAAAATTATTTCAAATGAAGTTACAGACAACTACTGTATTTTTCAGACTACAAGACGCACCTCCCTAAATTCAGGAGGGAAAAAGAGGGTGCATCTTATAGTCTGAATGTAGCTTACCTGGCTCACTGTGGGGGGGGCGTGACAGAGAGGGGTCACAGGTTATTAAATATTTTACCACATTTTTTGCTTTAAAATCTTTCCCCTATTTTCCTCCTCTAAAACCTAGGTGCGTCTTATGGTCCTAAAAATATAATACAGCTATCACACAGAAAAAACTAAATGAACTTTCTGGCCAACCCAATACATATCTATGTGTTAAAATTTTTTTAAAAAGAAAATAGGCCAAGTATTAAAAGTAATCAACTTCCAGCCAAGATGGAGGCATAGGTGAAAATTCTGTACCTCCTCACGCAACCAAATTTAAGAACAACAAAGATTTAGAAACAAAAATAGAACCAGAATAGAGACAAAATTAACTGTACTGAAGTCCGACAACAACGAACCATTCATCCAGACCAGTAAGAGGGGTGGAGTCGGTGGCCCAAGGAGAGGGGTTATGGCAGGAAGAGGCACTGGTTAGCAGAACCAGTTGCAGGGAGGAAAGTACCAAAACCAGTGAGATGCACAAAGCAACTGGCTGACCCCGGACACACATGCGCATGCAGATAAACCAGGCAAAAAAAGGGGCAGTGAGACCGCACAACCCAGGGCCCCAGCACTGGGAATAAAGCCTAAAAAGCACCAAGGGGTTGAGGTGCCAGGAGAGGCTCCCAGCCTCACAGGAGAGTTCGCTGGAGAGACCCACAGGGTCCTAGAATGTACACAAGCCCACCCACCCGGGAACCAGCACCAGAAGGGCCCAATTTACTTGTGGGAAGTGGCAAAGGGCACCGAAATCCAAGAAAGTACGCAGCGAATGCCACTGCTCCCTCTCTGACCCCACCCCCACATACAACATCACAACCCAGCCAGTAGGTTGCGCCACCCTAGTGAGCACCTAAGGCTCAGCCCCTCATACGTAACAGGCGGGAACAGACCAAAACATTATGGCACAAGAAGAAGAACAGATCAAAGCCCCAGAGCCAATACTTCTAAGCAACCAAGAGACAGCCAACCTATCAGATGCACAGTTCAAAACACTGGTGATCAGGATGCTCACTGAACTTGTTGATTTTGGTCACAAATTACATGAAAAAAAATACACAGGGAACCAATAGTGATGGAAAGGAAACTGGGACTCAAATTAATGGAGTAGACTAGAAGGAAAAAAGAAACAACCAAACAGAAAAGAATGAAGAAACAAGAATTCAAAAAAAAATGAGGAGAGTCTTAGGAACCTCCAGGACATCTTTAAACGCTCCAACATCCGAATTATAGGAGTATCAGAAGGGGAAGAGGAACAGCAACAAGTGGAAAACTTATCTGAACAAATAATAAAGGAGAACTTCCCCAATCTGGAAAAGAAAATAGACTTCCAGAAAGTCCAGGAAGCTCAGAGTCCCAAAGAAGGTGGACCCAAGAAGGAACACACCAAGGCACATCATAATTACATCAGCCAAGATTAAAATGAAGGAGAGAATCCTACAAGCAGCAAGAGATAAGGGAACAGTCACCTACAAAGGAGTTCCCATCAGACTGTCAGCTGATTTCTCAAAAGAGACCTTACAGGCAAGAAGGGGCTGGAAAGAAGTATTCCAAGTCATGAAAACCAAAGACCTACAACCAAGATTGCTCTATCCAGCAAAGCTTTCATTTAGAATGGAAGGGCAGATAAAGCGCTTCTCAGAGAAGGTCAAGTTCAAGGAGTTTATCATCACCAAGCCCTTATTATATGAAATGTTAAAGGGCCTTACCTAAGAAAAAGAAGATAAAAAACATGAACAGTGAAAGAACAGGGAAAGGACTGCAAACTCACAGTTATTAACAACCACACCTAAAACAAAAGCAAACTAAGCGGACAGCTAGATCAGGAGTAAAGCTACAGAAATGGAGATCACATGGAGGGTTATCAGCAGGGGAGCAGGAGGAGGAGAGAGGGGGAGAAGGTACAGAGAATAAGTAGCATAGACAGTGGGGAGAAAATAGACGAGAGAGGGCAAGAGTAGTGTGGGAAATGTAGAAGCTAAAGAACTCATGACACATGGACATGAACTAAAGGGGGGGGAATGTGAGGGGAGGGGGTGTGGAGGGTAGAAGGGAATGAAGGGGGAAATGGGACAACTGTAATGGCATAATCAATAAAATATATTTAAAAGAAAGTAATCATCTCAGATGGTAAGATAGGTGATTTTAGCTTCTTTATAATTGTACATGTTTTCCAAATTGTCTGAAGAAACTATAAATTGCTTTTATTAAAAATCTTATGGACCTTTATTACAGAAAATTACTTTTAAATAAACTAAGGAAAGTATCTTTTCTGATGACACATGACTTATCAAGAAAATTCAAATTTCCACCCTGGCTGGTGTAGCTCAGTAGATTGAGCGCAGGCCTGCAAACCAGAGTATCTTGGTTGGATTCCCAGTCAGGGCACATGCCTGGGTTGTGAGCCAGTTCCCAGCAGGGGACACACGAGAGGCGACCATACATTGATATTTCTCTCCCCCTCTCCTTCCCTTCCCCTCTAAAGATAAATAAATAAAATCTTTAAAAAAAAATTCAAATTTCCTTGGAAGTAAAAATTCCTACATATTCCTAATATGATACAGTGAGGACACAGGACATCACTTCTGCAGTATTCCTGCCACAATGCATAGGGTTGCTCCATGAGGAGACACCAGCAAACTCAATTCTGGGCTATTCTATAAAACAACTGTCCTCTACGCTTCAAAAAAAAAAAAAAAAGTCCCATTCATGAAAGATAAAGGAAGACTATGGAGCTGCTCCCAGCTAAAGAAGACCAAATGCAATGCACATTCCTGGACTGGATCCTGAACCAAACTTTTTTTTCTTTGGCTGAAAGGACATTACTAGGACAACTGGTGAAATCGGAATAGTCTGGAGATTATGTAATTTAGAGAATTAAATAGAATTGTATTGATGTTAATAATCTGATAATTATACCGAGCTTTTAAAAAACACATTTAAAGTATTTAAGATAAAGGGGCATTTCTGCACCTTACTCTCATCTCAAATGACAAAGAAAAGACATGTGCGTGCGAGACAGACGAGAGCATGTGTGCGGGGAGAGGCGGAGAAGGAAAGAAAGGGAGAGGGAACGGTGTGGCAAAGCAAATGTGGTAAAACGTCAACATTCGGGGAATCTGGATGAGGATATATGGGAATTCTTTGTATAACTCCTGCAACTTTTTGTAAATCTGAAATCATTTTTAAAGAATAAAGAAAAAATACCTCCACATCCCATATCCCACACAATCCCTAGTCTTACGTACATGCATGATTTCACTTAATAGGGACCTTTTCATGTTAGCACGTAAAGACCTCTCTTATCCTTTTTAAAGACTCTTAATTTTGCAACTAAAAAATAACTGGAAATATGGGCGTATCTTTTGAACTACAATTTTCTTATTTCCGCAGAATAGATTCCTGAAGTGAGAAAAAAACACATAAATACTTCCTAAAAATTAAGCAGCTCTGATCCAGAAGGCTTTTTGTAAGCATGCAGACTGTGGCCATTACACAGCAGATTTGAAGTAATCACCAAAAAAGGTAGACTTGAGCCTTTCACTAACCCTGACCTCCAATGTGGTGGCAGATGCACAGTACACTGATGTTTTGAGTGTGTAACTGCTAGGGAGCAGATCTGTGGAAGTCACCATCTGCTCAGCCCGCTCACACTGAGCTTATAGTTTTACAAAGCCATATTCTTTGGTTAAAACTTATAGCCAGGATCCTAAATGGGATTAATAGTCAAGAAGTTGAGAGACTTGGGAATAAAGGCTCCCTGGAAATTACACTACACACTGCTCTAGTTTCCTTAAGCCTTTAAAAAAATTTTTTTTAATCCTCCCGTGAGGATATGTCCACTGATTTTAGAGAGAGAGAAAGGGAGAGAAAGAGGAAAAATATTGATCAGATGCCTCCTGCTTGTACCCCAACCAGGGATCGAACCACAACCTAGGTATGTGCCCTGACCAGGGATCGAACCAGCAACCCTTTGGCATATGGGACAATGCCCCAACCAAATAAGCTATTTGATCAAAGCACCTTAAGCCTTTTCTTTTTACTTTATTTATCTTTAAATGTGACTCATAGGTTATTTCGGTTTAGTCTAAACTCAGTACTACGTGGGTTTAATAATTAAACAAAAACTTCAGGCAGCAAGCATCCATCCTATTACTGCCTCTACCGTGTACAGGTGGGTACAGATGGTCCGCATGACGCCACATCACTCAAGAGTGGAGTCAGACCACACCAGCCCAACACCATCTTCTGGGTCAGAGCACTTGCTAAAGAAAGAAGTATGGGAGCCAGAAATTGGTATTACACATCATGAGCTCTTCTTCAAATATCATCATAATAGCCTACGGACCTGATTATGGAGCTAGCAATTTGTTTAAATTCATCAGTGATCTACATTAATAATGCTAAATCAAAAAACATAATTATATCCCCAGCCTAAACTTCAGAAGAAAATTTAACTACTTGAAGATACTCCTGTGCAGTTTTTTTATGAGTACTTTTCATAGTTACCAATAAATAATTTATCGTGAAATCACTACCTGAACCAAGACTTAAGGTTGTTTAAGAGATACATGGAAGATCCTTCACATGGCACCTAAGGACATATGATTTGTTACTTAAATTGACACACAATACCCAGACTAGCACTACGAAAAAGTCACAAAGGCTAGTCACTCTCTGAAAACCATTATGGTTCTCAATCCTCCTGGCCAAGATCTGTCTGCAGTACATACTTGTCATCTGTAAACTTCTCGGGTGTAGAGTCCACCTGCCTCTCAGTCTCGTAGGGTTGATAGTCCCTGTAGAATCTCCGCTCTGCTCTATCCTGCACCACCTCTGTTCCCCGGCTATCACTCCATCCTTGCTGCTCTCCTCTTCTGGGAGTTCGCTTATGACCTGCCAGTAAAACATCAAAGGGGAGAGGTGGAACACAAGTCTATGACAGCATATTACTTACAGGTACTTTTACATTTCACTTTGCTAGAAATCAACGACGTGGGAAAATCAGGAAATTTGGAAAAGTTGAGAGAAGAAAAGTTGATATTACTATAGTCTAGCATCAACTACTTTTAAATAAAAGTTTTAAGTTATGTAAATCTTTGAAGTTCCTATTGAATTACATCCTTTTCCTTATGTTCTAGAAAGTATGATGAAGGTAAACCAACTATACCAACTAACCTCTAATGACAGGTACATCACATCTCTGTGACAGCTACAGATATAATTGCTAAACCAACTACATTTCACAAAAGCAGCTTTATCAAAACATGGTAGCTAGCCCTGGCTGGTATAGCTCAGTGGACTGAATGCAGGCCTGTGAATCAAAGGGTCGCTGGTTCAATTCCCAGTTAGGGCACATGCCTGGGTTGCAGGCCAGGTCCCCAATGTGGGGCACATGACAGGCAACCACACATTGATGTTTCTCTTTCTCCTTCCCTTCCCCTCTCTCTAAAAATAAATAAATATCTTTAAAAATATTTTTAAAAAGAGTTTAAAAAAACATGGTAGCTAAAGTACATTTAAAAAACTTTAGGATAAAAACCCTATAATTTAAATTGTACTTTTAGAGCCCCAACTATGGTTTAGCATTAGCTACTAAGGCTTTGGGTTTTAAATATAGCTTGTACCACTACTATCTCTTTTATTTAGAAAAAGATTTTTCTGCTATTTGATGCTATTTATGTATTTATGATCATACTTTTTTTAAAAATTTATTTTATGATCATACTTCTGAAACATGAAGCCAAAGTTGTTCTGCCAAATCATACAAAGGCCAGTAAGCACCCACAGAGACATCTCTCATCCATGGGGCCAGTACTCAACTGGAACAGGGACAACAACTTCACTCCTTCCCTCTCTCCTCACTTTACTCCCTGCCTCTCCAGTTCGATGCTTTAAAAATGTTATGCAGATGTCTGATAAGCATCTAATACTGAAGAAATTTTCCAATACTTAAATCATCTTCCAAAAATGTTTTCTTGGTATATATTTTAAAAGTTCCCATCTCAAACATTATATACAATATTTATTACAATACCTTTGATTTTTCTATAAACTACCCTTCAATTGTTTGTATGGCTATAAAAATATGAAATGCATCTGAATTAATGAGTATTTTTGAAATTGGTTTCCACTCCTACTTAGATAAACATGATTCTTAAGGAATGTAATGGGTTGGCCAAAAAGTTCATTTGGCTTTTTCTGTAAGATATCTCGAATAGTGCTTTGTTGTCTTTAACTTCATTCAAAACAATTTTGTTAGACTGTATTGTGACAGCTGTCATACTAGCGTGCATTTAAAGAAACTGGTGAATTTTTGTATAGCCATTTTAATACTGAAGATGGAAGAAAATATGCAACATTTTCAGTACGTTATGCTGTATTATTCCAAGATAAAAACACAACTGAAACTCAAAAATAGATCTGTGCAGTGTATAGAAAAGGTGCTGTGACTGATGGGGCATGTCAAAAGAGGTTTGCAAAGCTTCATGCTGGAAATGTCTCCCTGGACGATGCTCCACGGTCGCGGTCGCGCAGACCCGTTGAAGTTGAGAGCAGTCAAACTGAGACACTATTCGAGAACAATCAATTGTATCACGTGGAAGATAGCTGACACACTCAAAATATCCAAATCAATAAAGTTCTTGGTGAGAATGAAAAATGCCTTTTATTTTATGGAATAAATTAAATGGAATTTTTGTGCAACCCAATGTTATACATATTTTTCCATTTTCTCACTTAGTATTTTCTATCTAAATTTTATACACTGGGCACATGTATTAACACAGTTCCAATACTTTACTGATATCATTTTTAGAGCAAAAATCATGTGTGTGATACTACTAACATAAAATTCTACAATTTATTAAATGTTAGTTAACATAATTTTTTCAAATGTGAAAAGTTATATGACAGATCTAAGTTCAACCTCAAAGTTAATGTTCCATAACCTACAAATGCTTAAATCCGGTTTACAGCTTGTACTGCGGTCACGATCCAAGCTTGTGACACGTCTAGAACAGGGGGAAATGTGACAGAGCACTACGCTTTTACTGCAGAAACAAAAACGGAGGCTGACACGCCTGCCCAGCGGCACAGGAGCACACCATGCCAGATCCGAGGGTACATACTTTCTAACAGAGATAAGATTTGGAAGACTCATTTGAAATGTAAGATAGAAAATATTATGAAAATTAATTATTTAACAAGTTGAAAATGATAATAGACCATGACAAAACAGTCATAAGTAAACATGTCAACAGTAATACCTTTCAGTATTTTTCTCTCAATGTAAAAGTTATTTTAATACAGCTTCAAATTTCCTATTTATAACCTGTAATGTTTTTAAAAATCTTAATATCTACACTCGGTTACAAAATTACTTAGGAGCATATACCACCTTCTTCTTCCTCAAGGTTATTTTTGAGTTGTATCAGTTAAAATTAGAATTGGCCATTCAAAACTTAAAATGACATTTACTGCATACTTCATATTAAAACTTCTTCCAAAGTTTCTGTGAATAAATTGAACACAATTCAACATGAGAGATGATAGGGGCACGGTTTTTTTCCCACAATTTAGTACTAAGAAATTAAGATTGCAACTGAACCTCATTTGTTTTTCTGTGCTGGATCAGCAGCTCCAAGTGAATAATCCAAACAATGAATTTCAGCAGCCCTTTCCAATAAAAGGCTGGCTCATACAGTTGTTCACTGATCTAAATCCAAGCCCATGAAGGTTCAGAATACAATAAAATTTGCAATGAGATTTCCTACAAAAGAAAGTTGACCTTTGACTCAAAAACAATAGTTCTGGAAGCTAAGAAAAGCAAAGACGAAAAAACCTCTGAGGACTTCAAGAAAGAATTTACTGAGCAAGGCTCAAACAAGGATCAATGTACAGTTGACCCTTGAATTTGGGTCAACTGAAAAATCCATGTATAAGTGGAACTGAGAAGTTCAAACCTGTGTTATTCAACAGTCAACTGCATATTGTAAAATAATGAAGGACATTAAAAACCTCCATGAAAAACCCTTATGATTTCCACATTCTTTTCAGATTAATAAATGTTTCCATTATATGTCAAACATGTTTTGACTATTTCTTGACAACACTAAGCATTCACTCACAATATGCTAACTACATTAAAATTTTTGAGTGTTAGAAAAGTACACCTTTTCAATATCAATTAGGGCTGCAAAACCTCAAGAGAATATCTAACACTCATTACAGATAAGTTCAGTACAGCAATGAAGTAAATAGAAATGAATGAGCTATTGCTCCTGAAATAACACAAACTTGAAAAAGAACTAGAATGACAAGATTTCCACTCGTACTACAAAATTAACTAAAGATCTTTAATATAGATATCAAAAACCAGATCACTTGGCTCCTGAACAATTGACAGAAAAAAAGGTTATCAATATAACAGATTATAATGCTAAGTGAAAGAAGCAAACTATAATCTGGTTTACATCATGTAAATTTAGAAAAAATAGCTTTGTGCATTTGTATATATATACAAGATGTTTACAGTAGGAAAAATAAGAGAGTTTCACTTTACTTCATATAATTCTAACCTGCTTAAAATCTTTATAACAAAAATGCATGCCATTTTTAATTTTACAAAGGTTACAAAGTGATGTTAGCACTAAATGCAGTCTCACACAATTCTCCAGGATAAAATATACATTTTTATTTGTTAAAAAATAAAGGGAAAGGAAAAGCTTAGCCTTTTTCTATTCTTTTATTACTATATTTAAATAAATTTAAGAGAAAAATAAAACAGTACAAAACGTACATATCTCAAGTCTTACTCACTGTTTAAACATACTCATAAATTTATGCCCTATGAAGGCGTCTGGAAATAGCATTTTAAATAATTTTCAGCACCTGTATTACAGTGACTTGATTTTCATATTTAAGTGATATCGCTGGACTGTACATTTCAAACATAAAGGTAAACATTACCTAAGTGCAGGAGCCAAAGCCCCAATGCTTAAAACAGCTGTTTTCCTGGGGTTGGAATGCACAATTAATTTTTAAAAATTTTTTCAACTACAGTTGACATTCAGTATTATTTTAGGTTCAGGTGTACAGCATGGTGGTTAGGTATCTATGTAACTTAGGAAATGATCCCTCCCATAACTTTACTACCCACTTGGCACCGTACAGTTATACAATATTACTGATTATATTCCTTCTGCTGTACTTTACATCCCTGTGACTGTTTTGTAACTGCCAGTTTGTGGGATGCACAATTGTTATCAAGCCAGGAACTAGCCAGTAAAGCTGAATTGAATATTGAATACACTGCCAAACACTGGCTGCAGTGATGGAGCTAGACATCTTAACCTAAACACTTTTAGGCAAACCATAGGACTACTGCCTGGTTTTAGGAAAATATTAAACACAGGTGTAGTCTTGATGACTATACCACTGATGCAGTTCAGGTGAGAAACGAACTCTTAAGCACCCTCCCTCCCTCCCTATATCCAAATAGTAGTACTCCAAGCCCTGCGCAGCAACTCTGACTAAACAGGGGGTGGGGAACTTTGAATATCCTTGTTGAGAGGTTAAAGAAAGCAGCCTGAGTTAATGACAAGTCACACATCCCATCGACACCACGAGAAGTACTGAAAAATAATGCCGACTCAGTACTGGAAACTACGTTAAGGGGATGGGTTGAAGGCTCCGGGGACCCCACGTCCACCCCTCCGCATTCCGCTTGCGCCGACGTCACATTCCATCCCAGCGGTCACCCAGGCCTTCACTCCATCACAGAGGCCCACACGTCTCACTCTAGCGATTCTTCACACACTCTGGGCTTTCGCCACCACCGCCAGAGGCCGTGTGCACTAGCCTCCCTAAAGTGGGGCTCCCCTCCCAGCATGCCTCTCTTTTTGCTTCCCGAGATGGATCTTGCAGAGGGTGGGCTGGAGGATGGAGAAGGTCCCTACTAGCCCTAGACTGGTGAGCCCCGGAGTAGCGACCCTAGTTTTTAACCCACACACTACCCCAGCAGTATCCCTTAACTTTGCCCAGCTTGTGAAGCCTTGGTTCCAGGGTTTTGAGACCCCCTACTCCAAACCTGCAGCCCCTGCCCCCAGAAGGGACTGGGAAAGGTCGGAAGGGGCATGACACCCACCCCGCTCCCGTCCTCTTTTCCAACCTTCTTCCGCCATAAGGACCCTCAGCTCAATCCAACTATTCCGAAAGCCCCCTCCCCTTTTTGGACCAGGTTCTAGTGACCAATCTCATACTGGGAATACTGGGGCAGCTTTAGAACGGTGACCTACGTGACCCCATTCCCCTCTCCCTTCTGCCCACTCGGAGGCGCCTAGGTACCCGCCGGGCACACGTACCAGGTGTCTGCGGGCCTCCTCCGGGGCTGTCTGGCTGCTGCGTGCCGGGAGCCGGGAGGCCTTTGCGTTCCTTCTGGGACTCCCGCCGGCCGCCGCCCGCGCCGGGTCTGTGGCCCGAGGCCCCGGCCGGGCTCCTACCACCTCGGTTGCTAACCCCGGTCCCAGCCGCCACCACCTCGTCTCGCCTCTTGCGCTGCAGCTGCTGCTGGCGTCTGCGCTCGGCCTCGCGCAGGATGTCGAATGGGTCCGACTCGTCGTCCAGCAGTTGGTGGAAGCGGTTGGCTACGACGCAGCCGAAACTCTCTTGCATCGCGGCGTCTGCGGCCGCCGCGGCCACGGGGCTCCCCAGAGCGCCCTTCATGCTGCCGCGGCCACTGCGGACCAGCCGAGACCAGCCCACGCGAGCGAGTCTCAGCGAAGCTGGTGGCAAGGGCCCATCACGCACGCCTCTACTGCCCTACCCCGCCGGGTCCCCTCTTTCCCGGCGTCAGACCCTCGCTGCCACCGCCTCTTGCCATCCGCCTCCAGAGAGCCAATCAGAGTCCTAGGATACGCCCCTTTTCCTAGCGGGCACCCTGAGAGCCCAATCAGAGGTCAGCTGCTGTCGTGTCCGGCAATCTTTTGCCCCACCTCTTCACTCAAAAGGGGGGGGGCCCGATCCCAAGAGGCGGAGCTACTGGGAGGGGCTCCAACTTTTGTAGTCTGCGCTGGTTAGCCTGTGTGGGTGGGTCACAGTTCTTATTTATGTTCTCTCTGGGACTGGATTCACATTCGTAATTGGCTACTCATCTCTGAAGCTTATGTATTCATTTTGCCATTGGACAACTCTATATTGAACACTTACAATGAGCCAGGCATTATGTTGTAGGAGACAGAAACTCCGTGTTTTCATGAATCTTGTAGTGCGAAGAAAAATGTCTCGAAGGAAAGGCACGGACTTCTTTATGAGATAGCAAAGGAATCTGAAGCTTTCCCTAGGAAGTGCTGATTAAGCAGAGATCTGAAAGATGGCAATGAACAGAAGCAAGGGTAGGTGCAGAAATCTTTAAGGTGGGGTAAGCACAACCCATTCACTAATTCAGGAAGACCTGTGACCTGGGTTGCAAAGTGTCCAGGAAGAGTTTTATTTGCTCTTTCTTCTAGGAGCAGTAGGGAGAAAATTTTAAACATGAGCATACGTTTGAAAAGGCTACTCTGGCTGCAACTTGAAGGACTTGGAGGGAATTCAACTAAGCAGAAGATTGTTGTAGAGCTCCAGGAAGGAACTGATGATAGTGACTTGGACTAGAATGATGTCAGCGTGCGTAAAAAGAGTAGTAGATTCAGGAGCTATTTTGCAGACTTTATCAACAAGTCTTGGTGATACATAGATATGGTTGAGGAGGAGGAAGAGGGGGTATGATGACTTCTGTTTTTTCTCTGTTACAGCTGGAATGGTGGTGCTATTCACAAAGAATTAGAGCACTGGAAGAGAACACTTTGATGAGGATCATAAGTTCAGCCTCGGACATGTTGAGGTTTGGGGTTTTGTTTGTTTTTCTTTTGAGACATTCAGTTGAGGCCTGTAGCTCAGAGAACACAAAAAGCTGGACTTCTTCCAGCAACTCTTGCCTATGCCCCAGGGCAGACACTCTTGGCTGTCCATCCTACAGCTCTTTTCTTTACTCTTACATTTCCCTAGAACCTGTATTTTGTTAGGGTATAGGGTATGCCCCAGGGGAAGTTGGGACCTCTTTCAGCCTCCAAGTTGATTAATCTTAAATCATGTATTGTACTTTTATTCCCTTGCTAATGATTAGTGTAGGAGTAGGCTTGTGATGCAAACCTGGTAGAATAGACCTAAGGGGAAGAATTCTGGAGGATACCTGGGAGCATTTTTCTTATACCTAAAAAGGGATTGGGAGGCATCTGCCATCTTCCCACTTACGGTCTTTGAAAAGAGTACATGATGCCTTGAGTTGTCATTCCCTATTGTGACTATGAGGATGGCAGGACAGAGGCATGGAGAAAACCTAGTTCCTAATGTTGAGTTGCTGACTTACCCTGCTCAGGAACCTTCCTACTCAGATTTATTATTATATAAAATGATAAATGCCATTATTGTTTAAGCTACTCTTTCTTTTTAATTTGTTTTATTTTAAACTTTTATTTATTTATTTATTTTTAGAGAGGGGAAGGGAAGGAGAGAGAGAAACATCAATATGTGGTTGTGTCTTGACAGCTCCTATTGGGGAGCTGGCATGCAATCCAGGATGGGGAATCCACCGAGCAACCCTTTGATTTGCAAGCTGGCACTCAATCCGCTAAGCCACACCAGCCAGGACTAAGCTACTCTTAGTTCTGTTTCTGGCTTCTTGTTTCTTGCATCCAGAAGAATCCTGTTAGAGCATCTGGCTCAGGTGCATCATTACTCTTTTTTACTTTTCCTTTAATAGCAAATGGAAAAGGAACCCTTAATCCTAACTGCTGCCAGGTCTGTGTTTTGCTCACTTATTTAATTTTCTATCATTCCTCAGGAGGACAAGGATGATGTCTGACCTTTTCATTGCAATTTATATACCCAGTGCTTAGTGTTCTATGTGATTGTACAATAAATTCTCAAAATTTGTTGAATGTCTGAAAGATTTTGAGATATTTTGGTCATCTCCTAAGGCAGCATAGGTTTATGATTAAAAGGCTGTAATGTTTTTACCTAAAGAATTGAGATTGGGTGCTCAAACAAAAACTTGTGCCTGAATGTTTATAGCAGCACTACTCACAGTAGCCAAAAAATGGAAACAACCCAAATGTACATCAACTGATGAACACATGAACAGAATGTGGTACAATGGATGAATATTTGGCTGCAAAAAGGAATCAGTTACTGATGCTTGCTACAACATGGTTAAATCATGAAACCATTATGCTAAGTGAAAGAAGCCAGACGTAGATATTATATGATGTCATTTATATGAAATGCCCGAAGTTGGCAAATCCACAGAGGCAGAAAGCAGATCAGCAGTTACCAGGGGGTCTGTATGGGGAGTCACTGCGTAATGGGCATGAGGTACTGTGTTGGGGTGAAGAAAACTTTCAGAAACTATATCGTGATGATGGTTACACAAAATGTGAATGTACTAAATACCACTGAATTGCACACTTTAAAGTGGTTATGTTATGGGAGAAACTTCCAGAAACTCAGTTATTCTCCCCTACACAGTAAAAAAATTACAGATCGGCAAATCTATTAGTGTGCAAGCAGGGTTTATTGGTGATTTGTCATGGAAGACAGAGGCCTAGGTCTTCCTAGGTGAGAGGTGAAAGGCATAGGCAAAGCAGGTTAATGGCAGCGAAAGCTAAGGATGGCCAAAGGCCAGGGTTGCAAGTGCAAGCCCAGGTGGCCAAAGGCTGAATGAATGGCCTGAGGCCAGGCAGCCAGAAAGCCAAGAGAGTCCTTTGTTTTGAGGACTTACATAGTTGGCAGGGTGGAGTGGAGAAGTACACATTGATTGGCAGCTTTCGGGGGGAGAGGGAGGGGGAGAGACATGACTACCCCAATTTAGGTATATGTGGGGGGCATCTGTTAGCCCAAATCCTTATCTTGCTCCAGAACCTCTTTGTTCATATTGTTATAAAATAGGTACATGACAGGAGGCAGTTGATTAAAGTTGAGGCAGCTACCCAAAGTTTTTGTGAAAGCATTAGGGACTACCTTGTAAAACAGATAGTGACCAGAGGTAGGCAATTAACGAGAGTTGTTTTATGGACTTTGGCACTCTGGATCTCCTACCATCTTCCAGACCTTAGGATGAATACACAGTTTCAAAGGCTTTCTTTCCCAGACAGTGGAGACAATTCATAAAATTTCAAGGACTGCCCTCCTCCCATGTTAGCATGGTATTTTCTGTAATATTGGAACACCTGGAAATATTATTGGACCAGGTTTAGGGCTGCTGAGTTAGTGGGTGAGACATGTCTCTCTCCCTCCTTCCTGCCTTGATTTTGCTATCCCATCCAACAGTTAAAATAATACCTTTTGTTTTCAGGTATCAATACCTGTGTGTTACTCTTTTTTCTAAAAGATTTTATTTATTTATCTTTAGAGGGGAAGGGAAGGAGAGGAGGAGAGAAATATCAATGTATGGTTGCCTCTTGTGTGTCCCCTGCTGGGAACTGGCCTGCAACCCAGGCATGTGCCCTGACTGGGAATCGAACTGCGATACTCTGGTTCGCAGGCCCGCGTTCAATCCACTGAGCTACACCAGCCAGGAAAATAATACATTTTATATATATTTTACTACATTTGAAAAAACAGCCCTGGCTGGTGTGGCTCAGTGGATTGAGTGCCAGCCTGCAAACCAGAGGCTTGATGGTTTGATTCCCAGTCAGGGCACATGCCTGTGTTGCAGGCCAGGGCCCCAGTAGGGGGCGTGCGAGAGGCAATCACACACTGATCTTTCTCTTTTTCCTTCCCTTCTCTCTTTAAAAATAAATAAATGGGGGGAATAGAACAACTGTAACAGCATAATCAATAAAAAAATGAAATAAATAAATAAATAAAATCTTTAAAAAAATAAAAACCACATATTTTGGAGTTAGACCATGATTTAAACCCTGGCTTGGCCACTAACTTTGTTACTTTGGTCATGTTCCTCATTTTTTTAAAATTTTCCAATCATCTCTCTCTCTCTCTTTTTAAGATTTTATTTATTTATCTTTAGAGGGGAGGAAAGAGGGAGAGAAATATCAATGTATGGTTGCCTCTCGTGCATCCCCTGCTGGGAACTGGCCTACAACCCAGGCATGTGCCCTGACTGGGAATCGAACTGTGGTTGTTTGGTTCGCAATGTTCCTCATTTTTGTGCCTCAGTTTTTTCTTCTGTAAAATGAAGACAATAATTGTACCTACTTCAGGGGGTTATTGTGAGGATAAGGCCAGATAATGTATACAAAGTGTTCAAAACCATGCCTGGCACAAAGTATAAGTCCTCAGTCAAAGTTATGATCAACATTACTACTCTCATCGTCATCATTTTGAATCAGGCCTAAAACAGTGCCTCATCATTGTGAAGTGAATGAAATTTTCAAAGACTCTTCATGCCACAGAATCACCATATGCACCAGAGACCACACTTTGAGGACCATTTCTTCAAGCCAAAGTTGTCTCTGGCATTTTTAAGCTGCCCCTCATGAAACCACACCACCGAAGAATCATAACAACTCGAGAGAAGGGCCTGTCATCTTCCTACTGGACACTTGAAGACATCCCACTCCCCCATTCTCCTTCTGTCGTTTCTGAGATAGCCAACAACAGCAAGTTCTTAAGGCATGCCCTGTGAGCACTCTATTCTAATTCCCAAATCATAACTGCCTAAAACAGTTATTGGTAAACTAATACTAGTTGCTTCAGGGTTAAGAACACTTTTAGCCCTGGCCTGTGTGGCCCACTTGGTTGAGTGTCATTGGCAGTAAACCTAAAGGTTATGGGTTTGATTCCTAGTCAGGGTGCATGCTTGGGTTGACGGTTCAGTCCTGG